AGTGCTCGCGGGCCTCGTCCAGCTCCTCCAGGTAGAAGGCGAAGGCGCCCAGGAGGTGGTGGACGGCGGGGCGCTGCGGGGCGGCCGCTAGCTCGAGCTCCTGCCGCAGGCCGTCCCGCTGCAGCTTCAGGTCCCGGGCACGGAGCGAGGCCGGCGAGCGCGGCTCGAAGTTCAGCTGCATCTCCAGGTGGAAGTGGCCCGGGAGGTAGTCCAGGTCATCAATGAGGGCGTCCAGGTCCTCGGCCGCGGCCTCCGGCTCCGCCATGGCTGTCCCGCTGCTCCCCGGGCCTCGCCCTTGCTCCGGAGGCTGCGAAGGGCAGTGGACGCGGGCTCCCCGCGAGTGAGCCCGCCGCCAGAGGCGAGGGTCGGTGCGCGGAGGCTCAGGGCGCAGCCACCTGCCGGTGCCGGGGCGCCTCCCGCCGGTGGGTGGGTCCGAGAGTCGGCTTGGGGAGCGCCCTGTGGGTGTTTCCGCTTTCGCTGCTCAGCAGCCTTTAGGCGCCCGCATTGCACAACCAGGTGTGCCAGAAAAACAGGTGATTGTCAGATGCAGGATGTGCAAACACTGGTGCAAGGCAAAAGGCGTGTTTTTACTCTTCTTTGCTCAGCAGAGGAGGGAACTGAGGCTCAGAGGAGGAAAGGACTTCCCCAGCTCACAGACCTGGGACGTGCCCAAGCAGACCTGGTACCCAGTTTGCTGAACCCCACTCAGGCCCTTCCTCCATGGGCGCTGCTCCAGCCTCTCTGCGTGAGCTATCTGACTGGGAGAGTCAGGACTGGCCCTTCCAGCTGTGCGCAGAAGCCACCCTCACTCTGTCCCATCCTCTCCCCAGTTCTTCAGTGTTCTCCTTCCTCCGACACCTCTCTCCACTCTTCCTTTGGCCATTAGTTATCAGGCTTCCCCAGCTGGGATTTCTCTGCCTCCTCTCTGCCCTGCAGTGGGCCCCTGTGGAAAGATTATGGGGCTCCATCCCGATACTGTGTGTCCTTGAATGAGTCCCTTCCTAATTTCACACTTCAGACTTTTCTCATCTGTGATGTGACGTGACTTTCCCTCCCCCAGGGGCAGGGGGATATCATGGGTAAACCTGGCCACTCACGTCACTCTGGATAACTGTCAGCTCCCACTCGTCCCCCTTGGTTCCCATCCCGTCCTGCGCTCCACCTGTGGCCCCATTTTCTTGCTCTTGTCAGTCTGGTGGGTCCCTTACCCTCTAGAAGGCCGGGTGTGCTCTCTGCTGCAAGGCTGCTAGTCCCCCAGGGCTTGGCTTTTGTAGCAGGCCTGAACTCCGAGTCCTTCCTGCCCCTCATTCCACCTGGGCTGGGCTCCTGGGACCCTGGTGCTTTATCTTCTTGAAAAACAGACCAGCATTTTCAAAAGAGGAAATAGAGCCAATTAGTAAACCTGGAAAAAAATATTTACTTGAGCAATAAAAAGATAAATTAAAACAACTGTTTTTCACCTGTAACTTTTTTTTTTTTTTGGTGAGAAAGAGTGGCCCTGAGCTAACATCTGTTGCCAATCTTCTTTTTGCTGAGGAAGATTGTCACTGAGCTAACATCTGTGCCAATCTTCCTCTGTTTTGTATGTGGGACGCCACCACAGCATGGCTTGGTGTGCAGTGTGTATGTTTGTGCCCGAGCTCTGGACTGGTGAACCCCAGGCGGCCAAAGCAGAGCTCATGAACTTAACCACTATGCCACTAGGCCAGCCCCTTCACCTGTAATAATATAACATTTAATAATTTTAATAAATAATTGTGACTATGAATTGCTGGTGATCATGGGATGGAATGTGGGCTCAGACTGGCTTGGGAGGATCAGGGATGGATTCCCAGAGTGTCTGGCTTTTATTTTTCTTTTTATTGTGGTAACATACACTTAACAAAAAATTTACCATTTTATTCATTTTTAAATGTACAGTTCAGTAGCATGAAGTATATTCCCATTGTTGTGCAACCGTCACCACCATCCATCTCCAGAACTTTCATCTACCCGGACTGAGACTCTGCACCATTGCATGCTAACCGCCCTTCCCTCCTGCCCCGCACCGGCAGCCACCCCCCTGCTTTCTGTCTCCATGAGCTGACTACTCCAGGTGCCTCATATGAGTGCGATCATACAGTATTTGTCCTCTGTGTCTGGCTTATTTCACTCAGCACAATGTCAAGATTCATCCATGTTGTAACTTGTGTCAACATTTCCTTGCTTTTTAAGGCCGAATGATCTTCCTTGTATGTATACACCATATTTTATCCATTCATCCATCAATGGATATTTGGGTTGTTCCCACCTTTTGGCTCTTGGGAACAATGCTGCTGTGAACATGGGTGTACAAATATCTGTTTGAGTCCCTGCTCTCAATTCTTTTCTTATATACCCAGAAGTGGAATTGCTGGGTGATATGGTAATTCTATGTTTAATTTTTTGAAGGACTGCTATACTGTTTTCCACAGGAGCGGCACCATTTTACATTCCCACCAACAATGCACAAATGTTCCAATGTCTCTACATCTTCACCAACACTTGTTCTTTTTTCTTTTGTTTTGTTCTTATAATGACCATCCTCCTGGGTGGGCCTGGCTTTCCATGTGACTCTGAGAAGATGAGTAGGAGTGGGACGGGGAGGGTAGGTCACGGCTGCACTTCAGCAGCAGGAAAGGCATATGAGAAGGCCAGAGGTTTGCTGTGCAGGGTGTGCTGGGGACAGAGCAGCCCCATGCGGCTGAAGCTTCCAGAGCATGGGGAAGAGATGGCAGGGGCGCGGACCGAAGGCGGGGGCTACAGCCCCATTGTAGAGGCCTGAATCCTGCCTGAGAAGCTTGACTTGATGCCATTGGCACAACAGATGACTCCAGAGTCTGGATGGGTTAGAACTCTTGCAGCCAGGGAGCTCCCAAACCTAGCTAGGAGCCCAGTATCTGCTGTGTGACCCTACACCTCAGCGGATGTGACCAGGGCAAGTTACTCTCCCTGTCTGAGCCTTAGTTTCCTCTTCTGTATAATGGGGGTGGGAGGGTTTTTGCAACGGTACCTACAGGGGAGAATGACTTAGTTGCTATGGTCAGTAAGTGGCTGTGATGGGGAGGCTTTGGGCTGACTAGGGCAGGTGCCTTGCTGCAGACAGCTGACTCACCTGGCCTGCTCTGGCCTGTCTGGCAGCCAGGACTCCCAGCCCAGGGGACCTTGGCCTATATCTTGTGGCCACTCCTCCATGAGTCCAGGAGCAAAGGGGCTGAGGCTGGGAGAGAAGAAACAAACCAGCCCCAGGCAGGCCCGGGCCACCCTGAGAACCTGAGCCGACCCAGGGCTGGCTGCAGGGCCCCCAGTGCACAGGCCTTGGCAGTGCACACAGCCACACTGCACCGACACCTCAAAACAGTGCCACCAGGAGGCTGTGGTCAGGTGTCCATGTCACAGACAAGGAAATTGAAGTTTGGCCAGAGTAACTTGCCCGAGGCCCCAGCTAGAGGCAGGAGGGCCAGGATTCAAACATGAGTCTCTTCGAGGATTTATGCATTACTGGGAATTGAACTAGACTCGTTTTTCCGTTCACTTGTCATTCCACAAGTGTTTCCGGAGCATTTACTGTGGGCCAGGTACAGCCCCAGGAGTGAATGAGGTGGTCTCTGCCTGGACCTTCTAGAAGGTCCCTTTCTAAGGGCTGAGAATGACCTCCTATTGAGCTTCTGCTGTGTGCCAGGAGCGCACCTAAAGTGGTTCATTTAATCCTCACAGCCATCTGACGACATAGATTATTAGCTTCGTGTTATGGTTAAGAACGTCGAGAATCAGAAAAGGCAGGGAATCCCGGAGGCTGCGCAGTTGGGAAGAGGTGGCACTGTGCTGGTGTGACTGGGGTGCCTGCTGTGTGTTCCTGAGGCTGCACACTCTCACCACCAACTAGGCAGCCCTGGCCACATGCCTGCCCGGCCTTGGCCTGAGAGTCCAGCTCCCGGCTGAGCCGAGGTCAGACCCTCCTATTTAAATGCTACACTGGGATGTGAAAAGGGCTTTGGCTGGGGCCTGGAAGGAAACCCACTGTCCCTTTAGGCCAATTCCACCACTGGCGGCATGTAGGACCCTGGGAAAGTCCTGTTTATCTCTGGCTTCAGTCTTGTCATCATCAAACGGAATGTGGCTCTTTGCCCTGCCTTAGCCTAGGGCCTTGGGAGGATCAAAGGTGATCATGGGAGATCATGTTAGACAATCTCGTGGTTGACCATGGCGCACTGCGGGGGGGATAAAGGAGGCAGAGGGAAGAGAGCTGACCAGGCCCTGTTGGGGCACATACCCTCAACTCCTTTCTTTACCTAGCAGATCGTACACACACTTCAATGTTGAGTTTGGAATTCTCCTCTTCCAGGAAGTCTTCCCTGACCTACCCACACATAGACTGTGGCAGAGGCCTCCCTCTCATATAGGCCTGGGCACATTGTGTGGTCACTGTTTCCCCCACTAGACTCTTGAGGCAGAGACCACATCTGGGTCCTAGGCACCCTGCACAGTGCCTGCCCAGAGTGGGTGTTGGGTGTCCGGGCACGTTGAGTCCTGACTCCATCTCTGTAACTCTTCCGTCCAGCTCAGCATCCTTCCTCCCCCCCTTCAGCTCTGCCTCCCCTTGCTGGTTCGCCCTTTCTCCTCCCTTCCCTTCCCAAAGTGGAGGGAACAGAGATGCCCTCTCTGCCCAGGTCGGGCCCTCTCTGTGGGCCTCGGTGTCCCATGAGCACACAGCGAACGCCGCGCCCCAGCGGGCCCGCTGCCAGGCGCTGGGATAAAGCAAGAAATCAGAACCAGTTCCTCGACAAATGACTCTAAAGTGGCCCAAATGGCATCCATATTAACCACCAGGAGAGTCCATTAAATCTGCAGGGCTCAAGGAGGGACCTCTGACAGGGAAGCGGTGAAAATGCGCGAAGCGGAATCAAAGAGTCCGCGACACAGCGGCTGCGGGGCGGGGCGCCACGTGGCAAAGACGCGCGCACCGACCTCGGTGACTCGAATCACAAAGCCCGGTTGCCGTGGCAGCGGCGGGGCCAGCCAGCGGCAGGGTCCCGCGGAGGGTCTCTGAGGACCTCACTGCGGGGGGCAGGCCAGCGCCATGGCCACCAAGTGGTTCAGCGGAGCGCCCTTCGGGGTGCAGAGCCACAGGTGCTGCGGGGCCAGGGCGGGGCGACTTGGCCTGGGGCTCTGGAGCCTGGGGGAGGGGGATACGAGGGGGGCTGGAGTGAGGGGAGGGGGCTGGAGTGAGGGGAGGGGGCCGTAGTCTCTCTCCTCTTCATACCTGCTGCGCTTCCCTGCCCAGAGTCCTTTCACCATCCTTCTTAAGTCATTTACAACCATCTCAAGAGCACCTACCATGTGCCAGGCTCACAGAGGCCAAGTGACTTGGCCCATTGTAGGTCAATCAGCTCAAAAGTCGTGGTCAGGATCTCAGCCCAGGTGTCTTTTTCATTCGTATTTACATAGGAGATATCTGTCTATATATATGTCACCTGTGATATCTATCTGTCACCTACTCTGGGCCGGGCACAGTTCTAGCATCTGGGGATACAGCAGTGAACAAATAGCAAAACCCGGGACTCAAAGAGTTTGCATTCTTCCGGGGGAGGGGTGGTTGGAGAGGATAATAAACAAACCAGAAAAGTATGTAAAATGTTGGATAGTGATAAGGGCTATGGAGAAAAAGAGAGCTGGGAGAAGGAGCTGGCAAGTGCTGAGGAATGGGCTGGGGCTTGCACTGAGAAGGTGCTTTTGAGTAAAGACCGCCACAGGGGTGCGGGGACCAGGCAAGAATGGTATCCAGGGAGAGGGAACCAGGAAGGAGGAAGACCCCGAGGTGGGAGCAGCCCTGCTCATCCTTCATGAACCAGCCCCAAAGTCACCTCCCCTGGGAGGCCACTCCCCCAGCCCCCAGAACTGCCCTTGCCAGGGCTGGGTGCCAGGCACTGGGCTCTCACCCTGCCTCTGTCCCTCCCTAGGTTTGACGTCTCCGCCATTTATCCCAACCAGAAGAAGCTCAGCACCTTCACGGAAGCCCCGTACTCCAGGCAGCATTCCGTGGACGTGGTGAGTTTGCTCAGCTTCCCTGGCTCTCCTGCGTGGTCTGGCCCTGCCCCTCCGAGTCCCCGGCCGTGGCCGGCCGGTGAGCTGAGCTGTGTGAGGGCTGTGCCTTACACCTCTCCATGCCCTCAGACCTCAGCGCAGAGCTTGGCTCAGAGCTGGGCCTCAGACGTGTTTGATAAACGCAGGGGTGCAGTGAAGACGGGGGGGGGGGGGGGGGGGGGGGGGGCGGGCGCAGAGCCCTGGGCTCCGTGCCCAGCTCTTGCCTTGACTGGCTGTGGGCTCTTGAACGAGTCACTGCACTTCTCCAAAGTGTGGGGGCCAGTGTGTTGACTGTCCCTTGAGTGCCATGCCCCAGGTACCAGGCTCGGTGCTGGGGGTGTGGGCCACAGAGGGGCATTGCCTGGCCACCCCCAGGTCAGAGTGGCGGCTTGGTGAAGACTTGCTCTGTGGGTGGACTGGCTGGGTGTGGCTGGCCTGGCTCTGACTGTGTGCTGCCTCAGTCCCACATAGGACCTGGGACCTATGGCAGCAAGGAGACCTGCTTCAGCAAGAAGAAGCTAAAGAAGGAGGTGGGCACAGGCTGGGCAAAGGCCCAGGAAGCCACCCGGCTCACCCAGCTGCCCCACTTCCAGTACCAGGCCATCCTGAGGGAGAAGAAGCTGCAGGTGAGGCCCGGGGCCTCGCCGCTCCCCACTGCCTGGTGGCCTCAGTGTCCCCCAGGCCCGGGTAGAGCTCATCCTTTAGAGCTCATCCCATTCTACCCCCGGGGCTCCTTCCCATGTGGGCATTCCCAAGTTTAAAGTTTTCACCTTCTGCTCTCTTCTCTTGGGGCAGAAGGAAAAGCTGGGGCCTGGCTCCTACAACTTCAAAGACTTCTTGGAACAGCTGCAGCAGAAACCGTGCAGCACGCGGGGGCTGCTCAGCTCCGGGGAGGTTCGCTTCCGAGGACTCATTGGGGTAGGTGTCCTTCCGCTCTCTGTCTGCAGAGCGTGCAGCCCAGAAGGTGCTGGACGTGCCCTTCCTCCCACGTGTCTCCTCCCCAGGCTGGGCCAGGCTCTCCTATGGGTCTCCACAGCCCCTCTGTTTTCCAGTGCCACAGCCTCGAGCCCACCGGCTGTCGTCTATCCATTCCTCACCTGTCTCTCCCACCAGGTGGGGAGTTCCTGCTGGCAGAGGCGGGTCTGGTTCATCTCTGAGTCCCCAGTAGAGATCCTGGCATACGTTAGCTGCTCAACAAACTCATCCATTTAGGTATCTAGCCAGCCAGCCAGCAAATAATGATTGAGCCCCCAAAAAGTGCCGTGGACCGTTCTAGGCCCTGGGGACCCAGCAATGATGAAGACAAGGTCCCTGCCCGCATGGCGCTGGTGTCCTTGTAGTAGAAACAACCGTGCAAAGAAGCAAATCATATATAATCAAGCCTGTGAGGAAAAATGAGACAGGGAAAGGATAGAGTGATGGAGGCGCAGTTTACAGGGTAGTCAGGGCAGACCTCTGGGAGGAGGTGACATCTGAGCAAAACCTGCAGGATGTGAGCCATGGAGACTCACAGTATCTACAGAATACCCTTCCAGGCAGCAGGAACAGCAGAGGCAGAGGCCCTGGGATGGGGACATGCTTGGCGATTTAGACTGGCAGGCAGGAGGCCAGTGTGGCTGGAGGGAGTGGGTGAAGGCGGGAGGAGGTAAGAGCACAGAGGAGTGAGGGCCAGGCCATGAGGACCTTTCAGCAAGGTGGGGGTTTCGGGTTTGTTTCCAAGTGCTGTGGGAGGACGGTGGGGGGTTTTGATGGGGGAGGGCCCTGACTTACGTTTTTGGAGGCGAACCCCACTCGTGGGGTGGCAGCAGGCATCCGTGAGAGGTGGGGTGACAAGAGGGTGGCAGTGGCATCGCTGTGGGTGGGTGATCATCCCTGTGGGGGGACACTGAGTGGGGTTCAAGCTCAGTAGAGTTGTGAGGGAGAAGCAAGAGCCGCGCCGTGCCGAGCAGGTGCTGGGCACTAAGCGCCCGGCCTCCCCTGGCCCTGGCGCCCTCTGCGCTGGACGCTCTTGTCCTCCGAGCTCCTCAAGCGCACCGTGCTCTTTCAGCTGGGGCTTTGCTCCTGCTGTTCCCTCTGCCAGCAATGCCCTTCTCCCTGCAGCCGCCCCTCACCCCTCAGCTCCAAGGTCTGACCTGACCCCCACTAGGTGACATCTCACTTTCCTAGAAGTCCCTATTGTGATTGTTTATTTAGTGTCTCTGCCTCACTGGACATCAGCCCCTGAGGGTGCACCACATCTGCCTAGTTTGTTCACTGCAGAATTTCCTGGTCCCAGCAGTGCCTGGCACATAGTAGGCATGCAATAAGTGTTTATGGATTAAATAAGTATATGCTTGCCTCCTAAGGACCCTGTGCTCTAAAACATTCTAATGTTTTATAGTCATTCCTGATGACGCCCTGGAGGCTCAGAGAGAGTAAGCAACTTGCTCCAGGCTGCACAGCTGCAAGTGAGGCAGCTGGGAACCAAGCTGGGGCATGTCCACCCCCAGAGCCAGGGCCTCTCCCTACACCTCTCCACTGTGAAACCTCTGTGAAGACTGGAAGTTGCTCTGCCATGTTCAGGGGACGGGCACGTGCATCTTCAAGTGCAGAAGCTGTAAATGCAACGTAGGGAGACGGGATGCCTCGAGGCATTAAAAAATGAGTCCTTACCTTCAAGTGTAAAGTAATAATAGCTGACACTTAACACAGCACTTACCGTGGGCCAGGCACTGTGCTGAGCCCCTGAGTGTGCTAATTAATTTAATCCTCACAACAACCCTGAGAAGTAGGCACTATACTGTGAAGCAGGTGCTGGGCGTGCAGAGCCCAGGGTCACAAAGCTACCAAGCGGCAGAGGCAGGATTGGAATCCAAGGTGTCCACGTGTCACCTGCGCTTTCCATGTAGGCGTTCTCACGAGGGTTTTGTTCCTTGACTGTCTGTGGAGCCCAGGCTCTCATGTCAGAGCCCAGCCAGCTGATGGCAGAGCAGTGGGGGAGCAAAGCTGATGCTGTCTGTTTCCGTCCCGTGTCCCCAGCCCCCAGCACCAGGGCATCTGTGAGTGCTGGCGGGACAGGGTAAAGGGGCCATGGCCTGTCCCTCCTTTCTGGCTGCCTCTCCTCCCCCGGTCCCCATATCTGCTTCTGCAGGAACCTTGGCTGGGCCCCGCAGGCTCCCTCCTGGGCTCAGGGCTAGACAATAAGTTCAAGGAGGTGATGGTGCCCGGTGGGTGCAGAAGGCACTCCCTGGGGGAGACTCACGTCCAGGGCCTGCTTTTCTCCATCATCGTCTCACTATGAGACCTGGGCTGGGACCCTGATGGCCTTTACTAGTCTCTGTTGCCTCCATTTGCCCCTGCACTACTGCAGGTCTACAAACGCTACCTGTGCAGGGTGCCTGCCTTGGTCCCCTGAGTCCTTCCCCAGAGGGCAGGGGCTGTCTGACCACAGCCCCTACAAAGGCGATGCTTCCTCTGGTTTCCCAGCTCCATCCCCCACCGGCCCTGGGCATGGCCCACCGCCCCCTCCCTCAATGCACCCTCCCCTCTCTTGGTTTCGAGGACACTGGGCTCCCTAGCCCTGGAGTTCCTCTGCCAGCCTCCCTCCCCGGCACCGCTTTCCCAGCCCCTGCCCTCCCCACCTTCCTCTTTGGGGTGATCTCCCTCGCCCCGCGGGCTCCATGTGATGTCTGCAGATTCCCACCCCCAGGTCCCCCAGATACTTCAAACTCTGCACCCTCCGCCCGCCCACAACTCAGCATCTCTTGTGGAGGAATGGCGCCACCCAGCCGCCAGAGCGGGAAACCCAGCCGCGGCACCTGATTCCCCGCAGTCACTGGGGTCTGTGCTTTGCCTGGTCCTCTTCTCGTCCCCACGGTATGGCCCCTGGCCCAGCCACCACCCCGCAGCATCCCCTTGTGGTCTCTCCATGGAGTTCCTGGTCTCCTGCCATGGCCAGAGGCCCCTTCTGAAGCGCCTCACGCCTCAGGGTCGGGTCTCAACACCTCACAGCCTGCAGGGCCCTACCTACCCTCTTCCCAGCAAACCTCTCCCAACTGGCCTCCTTGCCTTTGCCCACCGGCCTGGGGGACCCGCCTGGAGGACCTGCCTCCTCCCCTACTGTCTTCTGGGGTTCTTCTTCTTCTTCAAGGTCCAGCTAAAAAAATCTTAAGTTATGATTCCTGCATTTCCCCCACCCCCGCCACCAACCCCAGAGTTAATCACTCTTGCCTGGGTCCCAGAAGCACTGACAATGTGACATTCCAGATAAACTCACAATCTTTCACATCAGCCCCGGTGTGTCGTACACCCTGAACCCGAAGGTTTGAAGGAGATGAGCCTCTGCCCGCAGCGCAGCGTGGTCCTGAGCTCCGGGAGCCACCTGCTGGGGCCCCTTGTCCTGACCCTCCCTGCTGAGGCCTGGGGACGTTGTGGTGCTCATTGCCTGCCCACCCCGGTGCCCCCAGTGTGCTGGGCAAACAGCAGAGGCTCCGAAGGATAGTGGATTTTGGCGTTGGAGCCGTAGTGCAGCCCCTGAGATGGGACCTTGGAAACGAGGTTCGCCTCTCTGAGACTCAGTTTCCCCATCTGTTAATCATGGATGGCACTGATTTTATTTCATCGGGTCACCTCCAGGACCATGATGTTAGGCTTGAGAAGCAGCTAACTCATGGTGCAGGGACCCAGTCTCCTACCTGGGGGCTTTCTCCTGAACACACCTGGAACCTCTGGGCTCTGGAAGGAGGCAGTGGGTAGTCTGCTTCCCCTGAAGGCGAGCACATCTGGTGTCCGCAGCAGCCTGGCTTCCCCAGCAGAGCTCCCTGCCTCCTCTGCCCTGTCCGCCCCATTCTGGGCTGCCTCCTGGGGGCCAGTTCCAGGGGCCAGAGGTGGGCAGGGCTAAGTCATCCGTGGAGCAGCAGTGACCCCTCGTGGCTAAAAGATGCAAAGCGGCAGCAAGCATCCTGCTAGGTCTCGACCCACGGACACCTCCCCCATCGACCCCCCCCAGCAGGGCGGCTCTCCTGGCTCCACCTACGAAGACCCTACTTCTGACCCTGGCAATCGAGGCCCCAGATGCTCATTCTAGCCACAATTCTCAACCTCTCCTACCTTCTTCTGCCCCCCAAGACAGCCACTCCACCCTGACTCATCATGTGTTGGTGCCCACGGTGGGCTGGTCACTGTGCAGGAGGCTTTGTAGACATTATTTAGTTTCATCCCCGTTACCCTGGAAAAAAGTCTTCCCATCCCCGTGTTACAAATGTGGACCATGAGGTTCAGAGGATGAGTGGTATGCCCAAGGCCCCTCAGCCAGGAGGCAGCAGAAGCAGGACTTGAACCCAGGACTCTACATCCTTCCGAGTCACAGTGCTGTTCACAGCACGGTGAGAAGCGCACTCATGCAAATGCAGGGCTTTGACACAGGGGTGTAACGGGTGGGACTTCCGAGACCACCAAAGCAAGCAACTGTCTGGGGTACCAGGGAAAGGAAGGCTTCATTCCCCGAAGAGATGACCTTTGAGCTGGCTTTGCAGGATTGGTACAATTTTCCAAGGCAAAGAAGGCAGGAAGGGTATCTCAGGTGGCGCTAACAGCACAAAGGCAGGAGGGTGGCAGAATGGCATGTGTTTGGGGACTGCAGGGGCCCCCTTGGGCTGAAGCGTGGGCTGTAGGATGCGAGTGGTAAGGGGTGAGTCGGACAAGCCAGTGGGGCGCTGGAACCGAAGGCTAGCAGAGGTGGAGGCTCCCAGGCCCACAGTGTTGTGCGCTGGGGGCAGCTAACACGCAGAGGCCTGAACATCCGTTCCCCTCCTGGGGGCGTCTCTTCCTCAGATGCACTCAGTGCAAGGAGGGGGATTGATGGCCTTTATGCCCCCTCACCCCCCACAGAACTACTATCCAGGCCCTGGAAATTATGGGGAGAAGGGCAACCCATACACGAAGCTGGAGGAGAGCTCCTGGAACCGGTCTCATTCAGAGGGCCTCATGTGCAGGATGACCAACAAGCCACCCCCCTTGGCCCATCAGGTATTCCCCTCACCGGAGGCGGGGGGGCCTTGCCTGCCTTCCTGCACAGTCCCGGGGGAGACTCCTGGAGCAGATGGGGAAACTGAGACCCCGGAGGGACCATGGGCTGGCTTCAGCACCTCTCCTGCAGGGATTGTCACCAGTGCTCTGTTCTAGGGGAGTGGTTTGGCACCGGGCACCTACACCATCAAAAGTGGCATCGAAACATACTTGGCGCAATCCATGGGTACCCGCGGCCCCTATGACACTTTCTCTGGTGACCGAAGCAAGCCCCAGCCTTACGGACATTACTCTGTGCAGGTGTGTAGCCGGGGGTGTGGGGGTGCATTCCCGAGTAATGTATCGACACCAGGACACCCCGCTGTGTGCCAGGTGCTGCGCAGGGCCCTCCCTGTAGCTGCTCACCTCCCCATCACAGCAAGGGAGGGGAGGGCTCGCTGTGTTAAATATGGAGACCAAGGCTGGCCACTCAGCTGGTAAGGGGCAGAGCTGGGGATCGAACCCCTGTATGTCTGTCTCATTTCGCCCCGAGTTCTCCTTCCTCTGTGCTGGCGTGAACTGCAGGGGAGGTGCGCAGGAACAAAGGCCAGGGCTGGATGAGAGCCTGGCCACAGGCCTGAGGGACCTTGACAGTGAAGGTCTGGGTGTCCTGCTGTTTTGGAAACACTTCCCAGGCATCACAGACTCAGCTAGGCTGGCTGGGTTAGTGGCAGTGTTAACAAGGCAGAGCACTGGGCAGCCGGGAGGGGAAACTGAGGTAGAACCGTAGCTTGACGCCCCCCTTTCCTGCACCATCGAGTTCCTGCTGTGCGATCCGTAGCGCTTTGTTTTCTTCATGCTCATAGCAATGGACTCACGTGTTTGTCTAATACAAACCATGTAGAGTGTCGGCAGGTGGTGAGTGCCAGGGGCATCGGGAGCGCTAGGAAGGGGGTGGTGGTGGTGAAATGTCGACATACTTTTGGACCAGTTGGTAAATAGCCACTGAATGAACCCTCCAACCTGGCTCCTCGCTGGGGCCCCCAGACCTCCCCATGACCAGCAACTAAGGTGGTCCTGCCCAGCACAGCAGGGGCCTCGTGACCCTCCTCAGGCCCTACAGCCAATGCCCATCCAGATTGGCCAGTGCCCAGGCCACATAATAGTATTTTTTATTATCTAAAAAATACTTGACTTGACTTTTTAGAGCAGTTTTAGGTTCATAGCAAAACTGAACAGAAAGCACAGAGTTCCTGTGTACCCTCTGTGCCCGGCTACACGCACAGCCTCCCCCACTGCCAGCATGCCTCCCAGACGGGTACATTTGTTATAGCTGATGAAGCTATATTGACATATCGCTATCACCCAAAGCCCATGGTTTCATCAGGGTTCACTCTTGATGCTGTGCACTCTGTGGGTTTGGACAAACGTGTAATGAGTGTCCGCCGTTATGGGATCACACAGAGTGGTTTAACTGCTCTGAAGACCCTCTGTGTTCCCCCATCACACTGGATTCTAAATATTTGGACTGTCGCTCGTGCTTACAACAGTGCCTGGCTCAGTAAGGGTCCATGAAATGAGTGAGGGAGGGAGGAATGGACAGATGCAAGCTGGGGGTGGGGTGTGGCACGGAGGTGGGGGTGCGGGAGGCTCAGTCGGACTAACCCAGCCCTGGCGGGGGCCAGTGTCTGAACTGCCCAGGTCCGGCTGGGCCTCGGGGTCGGCCTGGTCTTGGGACATGGGCAGGCAGGGTGGGGAGTAAGGCCACATCGTGTGCTGCCTGCTTTTCTCTGATTGCTGGCGAGGGTCCAGAAAGGTGGTCTTGATTTTCCTTGCTTAACAGGTATCTTTTTTTTCCTCTCTGTTTCTTAGGGAAAAACCTGCAGGGAACTGATGAATTTCAAGAGTTTTGTGGAAGAACTTAACTCACGTCACAATCAGAAGCGTGGGGTTTTTTCGAAAGTTCCCCGCAACCCAAAAACCCCTCCAGAGAGAATTTACTGGACCACCCTTAGCCAGTGCCCCCGAAAACTAGTCAGTGTCCCCCCCGTGGCCTTCCTTCCGTCCTCTCTTGGAAGGTGGCTCTCGGTGCGGGCCGGGGTGGGGTGGGGTGGCTGTTTCAGGGGGAAAGCTCAGCCGTGGCTATCAGACTTGCCTGGTTCCCAGTCCTGGTCTTGCAGTTACCAGTCACATGGGGTCAGTCTGCCTCATTCTCTGGGCCTCGGTTCACACGCCTGAGTGTAACCAGGTGGCTGTGCGAATTGCAGGAGTTGCGGACCAGAGCCCACAGCATGGAGCCTTGTCCCCAGGAAGTGCCGGCCAGTGTTGAGCTCCACCCACTCCCCCCAGAGGGAATAGGGCAAAACCTAGGGCAGGGCAGTGTGTGAATAAGGGGTCTACCTCCACAGAGGGACTGCACACCTGCTCCGTCCAAGGGACAGGTGGGCTTCTCCCTGGGGGGGCGGCAGCCAGTGGTCTGGACAGGCCTGGATTCTAGCTGGGGCCCCCTAAGCAGAGCCTGCCCCCCGGGGGAGAGAACAGCTGAGGGCTTTGGAAGGACTGGAGTCTGGAGGAAGGAAAAAGGGTGCTAACGTTTCCCAAATGCCTGCTCTGGGCCAGGCACCTGCCAGCCCCCTCCACTCCCAGGGAGGGATCATCATTTGCATTTCACAAAAGGAAACTGAGGCCCAGAGATGGGAAGGGATTTGCTCAGGCTCCCCCAACAAGGGCAAGAAGGAGCCGGGATTGGAACCCAGCTCATCTAGCTCCAAAGTCTGTGTAGCTTCGCTCCCCAGGCTGGGGTCCGGAACATCTCTATGGACCCTGCCAGGCCACGAGGACCCTTGGGAACCTGGAGAGAGGTGTCAGGCTCATGGGAGGGGGTTAGCATGGGTAGCATGGGTCATGAGGCACTGCAGGGTCCCTTCACCTCCAGAGATGGGCTCCTGGTGAGTTGGGAGGTGGCTGGGTACCTCCCACCATCCTGGGCTCAAGGTCCAGGGCCGCCAGGTGAGTGAGGTCAGCCCCAGGAGCCCTCACCTGCCCTGGCCCCAGGCTGAGCACCCCAGACCTCTCCAGCTTTCAGCCTTCATTTCTTACCCCTAGGCCACGTCTGGTCCCGGGATGTGGCTTCCTTCAGAGAAGGAGTGCAGACAGGTCAACCAGCCACCGTTCCTGCTGTCCTCCAAGAGGATGGGCATGAAGGCCTACCAGATGCTTGTGGGAAGCTGGGTGAGTGGGTCTGGGTTGGGGGCACACGGTGATGGGCGGGAAGCCTCCCCTGCCGCTGCAGGCCTGGGAATGTGCATTTCCCACAAGTTCCCGGGTGAGGCAGATGCTGCGGGTCCAGAAACCGCACGTTGAGAACCAGTGCACTAAGGGACACCACCTCAGAGCCATCCCATGCTCTCATTTTCTGGGGAAATGCTCCCTCCATTCTCTTTTGGTCAGTGTTCTTGGGTTTTGCCTGCCTTCTTGATTTACACAAATGGCGCTGGGCTTCAACCTCCTTCCCGACCTTCAGTTTTTAGGCGCGCTTTTATTGGGGTCTAATAATTTTATAGAAAGGTGCATGAATCCTAAGTGAACAGCTCCATGACTTGTCACAAAATAGACTCACCTGGGTAACCACACCCCAGGGCGAGGAACAGCATGTTTCCTGCACCCCAGGACCCCCCATCACCTCCCTCCCCATCAGGTAGCTCGTGTCCTGGCTTCCAGGAGCACAGGTTACTTCTGCCTGGGTATGAATAGCTGTGTATTTTTAATCTCTCTCCTGGTGTCCCTGGGAACGTCTTGCTTGTAACTTACCTGCCTTCCCATTATGCTTCCACTGCCCCATCCCGCAGCCCACACCTCAGCCCTCCCTCCTGCACCCCCCCCCCACCTTCCCCAGTGATGGCTTGGCCCCAGTGTGCTCACATCCCCTGCGCTGCCTGGTCCTCGTGAGGACCAGCTTCTCCATCCCCAGCATCCTTTTTTGTCTCACCTCCAGCCCGCACCCCCTGCAGGGAAGAGGGTCTTCACTCAGGGACCTCAAATAAGATCTTTAGACAAGAGCCAAATGTCCATGCTGCTGCCCCGTGGCCGGCCACTCCACCGTGGGAGGGGCTGGTGTGAGGTCAGGCTTCCAGAGGTTGAGCTCACCCTGCCCCAGGGCAGGAAGCCCCTCTGCCTGCACCCCCTGGCCCGGGAGCCTGCCCCCATGAGACTGCCCTTTCCCTGGTCAGAAGCAAGTCCTGCTTCACCCTGAACTAATGTCTGACTCCTAACTTCTCGCTGCCCACCCTTGGCTCCACTTCTCGGCAGAAGGTGGGGTGTCTGTCCTGTGGTGCTCCTGCCCTCACTAGTCACCCTGTGCAGGCGGCATCTCCTCACTGAACTTGTCTGCTGCCACCTCTCGTATCTATGACCCTGGTTTCTGGGTGGCATCGTGTATTAATTTCCTAAAGCTGCCATAACTAAGTACCACAAACTAGGTGCTTTAAAACAACAGAAATTTATCCTTTCACGGTCTGGAGTCTGGAAGTCTGGAGTCCGGGTGTGGGTAGGGCCGTGCTCCCTCTGAAAGCTGGAGGAGAGAGTCCTTCCTGGCTTCTCTCCAGCTTCTGGTGTGGCCGGCAATCCTTGGGATTCCCCGGCTTGTAAATGCATCACTCCAGTCTCTGCCTCCGTCATGCGCCTGTCTTCCCCCGCGTGCCTCTTCTAAGACACCAGTCACATAGGATTCAGGGCCCACCCTACTCCAGTGTGGCCTCATCTTAACTAATTGCAGCTGCAGCTATTTCCGAGTAAGATCATACTCTGATGTACTGGGGTTAGGACTTCTGTGTATCTTCTGGGGACTCAATTCAACCCATAACAGATGGAGTAGGGAGGAGCCTGGGGGAGGGGAGACGCCTGAGAGCAGGTCTCTAAGCCAGGTGTCTGGCTTGCTAATGTCCTGCCGTCCTCTCCTGTGCAGAACCCGGTAGGTGTGGGCCGCTACCTCAACCCCTGGCTGATGGAGACAAAGGACCGACGGCAGCGCTATCGGTCCCTGTACCTGAGTGGGTCCAAGCGCTATCCCTCCAACCCGGCCTGGGACAGGCTCTTGCAGTGAGTGCCGCTGGAGCTCCAGCAGCGGGGCAAGGGCACGGGGGCTTCCTGTGGGGGGGCTGGGGCTTTCCCCCTTGTGCAAGGTTCCTGTGGGAACACAGTTGCTGCTCCTAGTGCCAGCCAAACAGCCATGGCAGTGGAGAGAGTTCAGATCCTGGCTCTGCTGCTTGCTGACTGTGTGAGGTGGGGCGCATCACTTAACCTCTCTGAGCCCCACTTGTCAGCTGTCAGATAAGCAGAGGACGGTGGCAGCCCAAATGAGATGCTCTCTCTAGAGCTCCTGGTACAAGGAAAAGGAACTCAATAAACACTAACTCCTCCTCACGGCCACACAGTCGAGGCGCTGCCTTGGGGGCTCTCCACGCAGAACCTCGGTTTCTTGTGTTCATGACTCAGTTGGTAAAACTTGTCTCAGCACGTCATTGCGGAGCCTAACGAAAAAGGGTACATGAAATACCTTGGCTAACTGTAAAACAGCCTGCAAATGTTAGCCGCTGCCGTATTTTATTGACCTAAGACGCCATCAGTTGCAATGCAGTCTGAACTTCAGAAGTGTTAAAATGTGGATAAACATGCACTTTAGAGCTCATTGTGTTGATATTAGAAAATGCGGTGAGGGCGTGAGGACCAGATTCTGGGGATCAGATTGCTCAGAGAAAACCAACTTTTAAATGCTTATATTTCTCAAAGTAATCCTGTTGTGTCTTCCTCCTTCTTGACTTACTCCCTGTTTCGGTGGCTTCCTCACAGAGGGTAATGGGGGTAACATTTTTGATAGACTGCATGTCTGAAAAAAAATTTCTTTCAATCGAGTTCATAATTGTTTACATCAATGTGAAATTTCAGTTGTACATTATTTCTTGACTGTCACCACATAAGTGCTCCCCTTGAGCCCCTGTGCCCACCCCCAAGCCCCCTTCCCCTGGGAACCACTGAACTGTTTTCTTTGTCCATGTGTTTGTTTAAATTCCACATATGCGTGAAATCGTCTGATGTTTGTCTTTCTCAGTCTGGCTTATTTCGCTGAGCATAATTCCCTCCAGGTCCATCCATGTTGCTGCAAATGGGATGAATTTGTCATTTTTATGGCTGAGTAGTATTCCACTGTATATATATATCACATCTTCTTCATCCAGTCATCAGTCCATAGGCACTTGGGTTGTTGCCATGTCTTGGCTATTGTGAATAGTGCTGCAATGAACATAGGGCTGCACGTGTTACTTTGGATTGTTGATTTCAAGTTGTTTGGGTGGATACCCAGTAGTGGGATAGCTGGATCGTGTGGCAGTTCTATTTTCAGTTTTTTGAGGAATCTCCATACTGCTTTCCATAGTGGCTGCACCAGTTTGCATTCCCACCAGCAGTGTATGAGGGTTCCTTTTCTCCACACCCTCTCCAACAGTTGTTTTTAGTCTTGGTGTTATAGCCATTTTAACATGTGTAAGGTGGTATCTTAGTGTAGTTTTGATTTGTATTTCCCTGATGATTAGTGATGTTGAACATCTTTTCATGTGTTCATTGGCCATCTGTATATCTTCTTTGGAAAAACGTCTGTTCATATCCTCTGCCCATTTTTGATTAGGCTTTTTTTTTTTTATTGTTCAGTTGTGTGACTGCTTTATATATTATGGAGATTAACTCCTTGTCAAATATATGATTTGCAATATTTTCTCCCAGTTGGTGGGGTGTCTCTTTGTTTTGATCCTAGCTTCTTTTGCCTTGCAGAAGCTCTTTAGTCTGATGAATTCCCACTTGTTTATTTTTTCTTTTCTTTCCCTTGGCAGAGAAGACATGGTGTTCAAAAAGATCCTTTTAAGTTTCATGTCAAAGAGTGTACTACTTATATTCTCTTCCAGGAGTTTTATGGTTTCAGGACTTATCTTCAAGTCTTTGATCCATTTTGAGTTTATTTTGGGGTATGGCATGAGATAATGGTCTACTTTCATTCTGACTGTCTAGTTTTCCCAACACCATTTATTGAAGAGACTGTCTTTTCTCCATTGTATGTTCTTGGCTCCTTTGTCAAAGATTAGCTGTCCGTAGAGGTGTGGTTTTATTTCTGGGCTTTCAGTTCGGTTCCATTGATCTGTGCGCCTGTTTTTGTGCCAGTACCATGCTGTTTTGATTACTGTAGCTTTGTAGTACATTTTGAAGTCAGGGATTGTGATGCCTCCAGCTGTGTTGTTTTTTCTCAGGATTGCGTTAGCTATTCGGGGTCTTTGATTGCCCCATATGAATTTTAGGATTCTTTGTTCTGTTTCTGTGAAGAATGTCATTGGGATTCTGATTGGGATTGCATGGAATCTGTAGATTGCTTTGGGTAGTACAGACATTTTAACTATGTTTACTCTTCCAATCCATGTGCTTGGAACCTCTTTGCATCTCTTTATGTCATTATCGATTTCTTTCAGTAATGTCTTATAGTTTTCATTGTATAAGTCCTTCACCTCTCTGGTTAAATTTATTCCTAGGTACTTTATTCTTTTAGTTGCGATTGTTAAGTGGAATTGTGTTCTTGAATTCTCTTTCTGTAAGTTCTATAGTCTCATGACTATAGAAATGCAACTGATTTTTATAAGTTGATTTTATACCCTGCAACTTCACTGTAGTTGTTAATTATTTCTAATAGTTTTCCAATTGATTCTTTAGGGTTTTCTATATATAAGACCATGTCATCTTCAAAAAACAAGAGTTTCACTTCTTCACTCTCTGTTTGGATTCCTTTCATTCCTTTCTCTTATCTAATTGCTCTGGACAAAACCTCCAGTACTATGTTGAATAAGAGTGGTGAGAGTGGGCATCCTTGTCTTGTTCCTTTTCTCAGAGGGATGGAATTCAGTTTTTGCCCATTGAGTATGGTGTTGGCTGTGGGTTTGTCATATATGGCCTTTATTATGTGGAGATAATTTCCTTCTATCCCCATTTTGTTGAGTTTTTTTTTTTTTTTATCATAAATAGCTGTTGGATCTTGTCAAATGCTTTCTCTTTATCTATTGAGATGATCATGTGGTTTTTATTCCTCAATTTGTTGATGTGGTGTATCACATTGATTGATTTGCGGATGTTGAACCACCCCTGTGTCCCTGGTATGAATCCCACGTGATCATGATGTATGATCCTTTTGATGTGTGGCTGTATTTGGGTTGCCAATATTTTGTTGAGGATTTTTGCATCTGTGTTCATCAGTGATATTGGCCTGTAGTTCTCCTTTTTCATACTGTCCTTGTCAGGCTTTGGTATCAGGATGTTGGCTTTGTAGAATGTGTTAGGAAATGTTCCATCTTCCCTAATTTTTTGGAATAGCTTGAGAAGGATAGGTATTAAATCCTCTCTGAAATTTGGTAAAATTCCCCAGGAAAGCCATCTGATCCTGGGGTTTTATTCTTTAGGATGCTTTTGATTACTGTTTCACTCTCTTTCCTTGTGGTTGGTCTATTCAGATGATCTGTTTCTTCTTGATTCAGCTTAGGGAGGTTGTAAGAGTCTAAGAATTTATCCATTTCCTCTAGATTATCCATTTTGTTGGCATGTAGTTTTTGTAGTATTCTCTTATGATCCATTGTATTTCTGTGGTATCCGTTGTTATTTCTCCTCTTTCATTTCTAATTTTGTTTATCTGAGCTTTCTCTCTTTTCTTCTTTGTAAGTCTGGCTAGGGGGTTGTCAATTTTATTTATCTTCTCAAAGAACCAGGTTTTTGTTTCATTGATCCTTTCTACTGCCTTTTTTTGTTTCAATAGCATTTCTGCTCTAATTTTTATTATTTCTGTCCTTCTGCTGACTTTGGCCTTTGTTTGTTCTTCTTTTTCTAATTCAGTCAGGTGTAATTTGAGGTTGCTTATTTGGGATTTTTCTTGTTTGTTAAGGTGTGCCTGTATTGTGATGAATGTCCCTCCTTATATGGCTTTTGCTGCATCCCATATGAGTTGGTAGGGTATATTTTCATTTTCATTTATCTCCAGATATTTTTTTATTTCTCCTTTAATTTCTTCAGTTATCCATTGCTTGTTCAATAGCACGTTGTTTAATCTCCACATCTTTGTCCCTTTCTCAGCTTTTTTCTTATAATTTCTAGTTTCATAGCATTATGGTTGGAAAAGATGCTATTTCAATTTTCTTAAATTTATTGAGTCTTGCCGTGTTTCCCAACGTATGGTCTATTTTTGAGAATGTTCCATGTGTACTCAAGAGGAATGCGTATTCTGCTGTTTTTCGGTGGAGTGTTCTATATATACCTGTTAAGTCCATCTGGTCTAGTTTTTCATTTATTCCTCTGTTTCCTTGTTGACTTTCTGTCTGGATGATCTGTCCATTGATGTGAATGAAGTGTTGAGGTCCCCTACTGATATTGTGGTGTTGTTAATATTTCCTTTTAGGTTTGTTAGTAGTTGCTGTATGTACTTTGGTGCTCCTGTGTTGGATGCCTAGATATTTATAAGTGTAACATCTTCTTGGTGAATGTCCCTTTTAACATTGTCTCTCTTTACTTGTTTTATCTTGATGTCTACTTTGTCTGATATAAGTATGGCAACACCTGCTTTCTTTTGTTTGCCATTAGCTTGAAGTATCGTCTTCTATCCCGTTCACTCTGAGCCTGTGTTGGTTGTTGGAGCTGAGGTGTGTTGCCTGGAGGCAGTATATTGTTGGGTCTTGTTTTTTAATCCATCCCTCCATTCCGTGTCTTTTGATTGGAGAATTCAATCCATTTACATTTAGAGTGATTATTGATATAGGAGGGCTTGATGATGCCATTTTATCACTTTTTTCTGGTTCTTCTACATTTCCTTTTGTTTCTCATCCCGTGTATTTTGGATTACCAATTCGGTTAGGTAGTTTTCTATGCTTGTTTTCTTAGTCTTCTCCTTATTCATTACTTGTGTCTCTGTTCTACTTATTTGTTTAGTGGTTACCTTTTGGTTTGTATGAAACATCTCATATATGAGACAGTCCATTTTCTAATAACCTCTTATTTCCTTAGACTAAGCTGATGCCATCTCTTCC